GTGATTATTATAAGAAGTTCACAAACTCACTCCCATAAGGACCGATCACACGTATCAGTCCTTTGTGCTCGTGCATGTGTCCAAAAACACCCTCAAAACCTCAGTAAAGTTGGAAATGTGCTGGAACCCCACGCTACTGGAAACGCCGGTGTGCTGTGGCTCTGCGCTCTCGTGTGCGCACTCAGGACAGGAGCGCTGTCGAGACCGCAGGCGCATGATTTGCTCGGTTTATCCAGTTAATCCACCGGCCAGCTGCGCATGGTCACATATACAACCAGACAAAACAGATCAATTCCATCGTCATCATATTTTAATGTGATAACATGGCCAGCAAGAATATGCGTTTAACTGTTTTTTTCTTCTTCTTCTTTTTCTGGGTAATAATGATGGAAATGTAGTCAAGACGTTAAGGTTTGTATGTGTATACACAAATTGAATTTCAAATATATGCCTACACTGAGAAATATTTTCACTAAATAGTGTGACAACTAGCCCCGGCCTCCCTTATAACTTACATTCCACACACTTCACATGTAGGCCTATACGGCAGCTGTTGTTATAGCAACAATAGCGATTCAGCCTATCAAAACATTGAGTATTCAGTTGGATCGGTTTATTTATTGATTTTAAGGTTCATATTGCCAGTGGACCCTGCAGGTAATATGCATTTGACCATTTATACCAGGGCTGTCCAAACTCGGTCCTGGAGGGCCGGTGTCCTGCAGAGTTTAGCTCTAACTTGCCTCAACACACCTGAAGTTTGTAGTATGACTAGTAAGAGCTTGATTAGCTGGTTCAGGTGTATTTAATTGGGGTTGGAGCTAAACTCTGCAGGACACCGGCCCTCCAGGACCGAGTTTGGACAGCCCTGATTTATACTATAGGTATTTCATTTGTAGTTTTATAATATATAGGTGTTTAACCCTCTGGCTATTGTTCATTTGGGGGTCTCACTTGTGTTGTTCACGGTCAAAAGTCACCGAACACCTGAAATGTAACATTTTTTTATTTTCATTAAAATCAATGTAATAAATTTTTGTTCAATAATAATATTTTTTCTTTTGTATTTTGAGATAATTTCATGATACTAATTACTATTTATGCAATAGTTATGATAATTTTTTCCATTGGAAATAATTGTTTTCCTAATATTTTTATATTACTTTTCAATTATGGCAGTATTTCATGTTAAAATAGAGACAATGCCTTTTAAATCCAATTTTTGAAGGCAGATTTATGCCATCTGGTGGGAGTAAAAAAAAAAAGAAAAACATCTGCAATTCCATGGTTTCTCTAGTTGTTTTTAGACATAAATTCTTAGTTTTATTAAGTTGTGGATTTGGATATATATTTAGACATTCTCAAAGACATGTTTTTTCAAATTTGCAAAAACCAGGAGTGGCAAATTATTAAGTTAATTATTATTTTTTCCTTACATTATAATCGTTATGATCACAACATGTAATGGGAAGTCGTGGCCTAATGGTTAGAGAGGTGTGTGTGTTCACTGCTGTGTGTGTGCACTTCGGATGGATAAATGCAGAGCACTAATTCCAAGTATGGGTCACCATACTTGGCCACGTCTCGTCACTCATGTAATCATTGCCTTAATCGTGTTCATCGTTTCTGCTTGAATACATCATTAATTTACTGCATGATTTGTATTATCCTAAAACAGTAAATTTCTGCCATATGAACATCGCTTTAACAGTCACCTCTGATAACAAATTACTCTTAATTGTAATGTAGAAACATGTATCTCCTGTAAACCTACTTTAAAATGATACGTATTGTGAAAAGCATTATACAAATAAACATGAATTGGAAAAAAAAATGAATAAAATAATTATAAATAAATCATCAGGGCTCACACCAGTGCTATTTTAATATCAGTGAGATACTACTATACTTTTAATTCTTTTTCAATTAGTTTTTTTTTATATTGTGCATTTTCATTTTACTTTGTTAAAGTTTTAGTAATTTTGTGTTTTTGTAATTTTTATTAGTATTATTTTTAATATGTATATATATATTTTATAGTCATTATTTTTTTTTTCTTCAGTTTTTGTTATTTTAGGATATGAAGTTAAACCAAATAAAAATGAGAATGAGTTGTATGTAGAAGTTCCTGATAAGCTGGACTTTACTCTAGATCTATCTATCTATCTATCTATCATGTGTTTTGTGTTCTAGTGGAGTTCAGCTTTTGGTGCATCAGTGATAAAGGAGTGGTAAAGACAGGGGAGCTTTTCTTCCAGTGCTATCAGCTCTTTTGTGTGTTTCTCATGGTGTGAACATGTTGGTCTTGTGTGTGTGTGTGTGTGTGTGTGTGTGTGTGTGTGTAATCAGCCTGATGCTCACGTGTTTCCACCTGGATGTGGTGAAGGGGAGCTCTCGGGACGGATCGGGCTGCTGCGCTCTGTACTAGGCCGCAGCTGGAGGACACCTGCCTCTCCTGCAGTACCTCATACAGGACGGATGTGAGGTGAGAGGACATAAACATAAACATTCAGTGTCTGGTTGTAGTTGTACCTGATTTACACCTCATAATGCCTCAGGTTGATATTCGGGACGCCCCTCATGATCGTATCGGTCATAACTGGAGACACAGCTGCAGCTTCACTGTTAATCACAGCTGGTGCTGATGTTAATGTTCAGGACAGAGACGGGTAAACACCACTGATGGTCAGAACTCAAACTCTGAAACTGTACTGTAATATCTCAGCATCTAATAAACCACTAAATAAGCAGGGGAGGCCGGGGCTAGTTGTCCATATTTCTCACTCTAGGTTTATTTTTGTGTAACATTATATATATATATATATAT